CAATCAGAGCCAAAAAAGATGATTGATTGTTGAGCTTGATTCCCAGGTTGTCAAATACTGAAGCTTTGAGTGCCAAAGCTTCAAGCCACCAACCCAATGTGTCGATATTTGACGACCGGGAATAATCAACTATCTGTCTTGACTCTGATTGGTTGTTTTCATTAAGGCCCGGTGGATTCTTGCAAATACCATTAGGAGCACTAGGAGGAGACAGAGGAAAATTTTTGGATCCAGAATTAATTAACCTGAGACTTTACAAATACGTTTGCTGTGCAATACAGCAACACAATAAATGATGAAGAGCAAAAAAGAGTGTTGATCACCCTGCACCGTTACTACTGCCTCAATCTGTGAGGAAGATGAAAGCAAAGTGTGTTCTTCTTATTGGCAGAAGGACTCAGATTGCAGCTAATGCATGACTCCTCTCTGGTGGTCTGGGCAGCAGAAGGCTCATGAAAGAAGAGCTGGATTAGATCAGCAAGAAAAGAAAGGACGTGGGGCCTCCTTCATGAAAGCTTAATTTGATGATAACCTTTTGTCATATTTGCTGAAACTATATCCTGGTAATCTGTGGTTCCCCTGGCTCCTCCTAGTGCTCCTAATGGTATTTGCAAGAATACAATGCTTGAAATAAAACAACCAATCAGAGCCGAGAAAGGTAGTTGATTGTTGAGTCTCACTCCCAGGTCGTCAAATACAGACTGAGAATGAGACTCAGCAATCAAGCCTCCAACCCAAAGCATCTTGCTATCTTCTTGGCTCTGACAGTGAAAGTTTCAGCAAATATGGCAGAAAGTGAATTTAATAAAAGTTACCTACTGCAGCTTTAACTTGACCTCAGAAACAGCAGCTGACTAAAGTCTCACAAGGTTAATTTAGTAACTGATCTGGAGCAACTCCATTAAGTAAGTGATGGCATGTGGCATAAAATAAGTCACTATTTATGGCACACTTGAATACACAGATATCAGTTGCTAAACACCTGAGTGTTGCAGATGTGTGTGCAGTGTCTCTTGAGAGCCTCTCCGTGATCAGTGTCCTGTTCTTGTGACCTTTGTACTGTGTGTGAACGGACTGAGTAGTAAACAGGCCAGTTGCATGCTGTTTATCCAGGCCCAACTGCCTAATGATCCAGGCACCCATACATCCAAATAGTTGATCTTAGTCAGGGTTGTATAAAAGCTCATTGACAAAATAATGATTGCTACTGCTTATGTAGAGACATTTCACATTTTGTGGCTTCCACTGTTTTGTTTATTTAAACGTTCAGTGAGTAACACTTTGGAGGATCTATTGTCAGAAATGGAATATAATATTCATAGGTATGTTTTCATTAGTGTGAAAAAATCTGGTTCTTCTGGCTCCTTCTGCCATCTACAGCAGTAGGAGGAGCCAGAGAAACTAGATTTTCTTCACAGATTATCTGTCTCATATACAACTCTCTGGACATTTAAGCAGAGACCCTGAGTAGGGATTTTAGCAAAGTTACTGAAGGTAACTAAAGTGTCAATGGATGTTAAAAGGGTATTCATTATTGCACTTTCAAAGAGTCACTCACAAGAGACAACTTTTTAAAAAAGAATGGACAAAATCGGAGCATATGCTGATTTTTAGTATGGGTAAACTCTAAAAGGGCCCACAGCGAATGGCTGATTACAAATGAGGTCTAACATAATCAAAGAGTCAAGGAGTTGCCAAAACCAACAGTAAAACCGTAAGTTTATTCAATAAACAGTAAAAATGATCATAAATCAAATAACAGCTCAAAAGAACTGATGGCCTGCAGCCAACTAACCTTTTTTTTCATAAGGGAGATGAAAATAAGATTCAGATGAAACCTGTTTAAGTTAATGAGCTTAAGTTTTCTCTGGACCCCTGCCCAATGTGACCAGTGATGACATGTATAGCCGCATGTCATCATTCCACCGCTGGCTGTCGAG